TCAAAGAGCAGTATTGTGGTAACCGCTACAGAGGCAGCCACCTCTCATGTAGGGCATTGCTGAGGCGGATGTATTTGAGGAGAGCGTGGTAGGTGAGATCTATTGTGTGTCCATGGAAAGAGACTCGAAGGTTGACACCGACAGGAAGCCGGCCTTCCAAAAGGTGATCGTCTTGATGCCTCGATGGAGATATGGATTTATATTAGAGCGACGGGCCCTGGTTTGCATCCTCCTCGTGAGAGGGAAGGCGACAATGAGGCGATGAAGGCGGCGCGACGCAGAACTGACCGACAGGCTGCTGTATTTTATATGCTATGTAGGGTTGATGGTTCGCTGCCCTCGTCGAGGAGTGGTTGTAGCTCGATAGCCTCTGTGAAACAACGAGTCGAAATAGATATGTCGTGGTGTTCGAATATCTGCCCTATTGAGTTGGCGTATTTGATCGAGTCGATTGAACGTTGTTTTTGTGTAAGGTAACGCTGGTGTGGTACGACAATACAATGAGTTGTCCCAGGAGAGGAAGTGGAAGTTGAGCGGAGAGGAGTGAGTATTTTATCGCACAATTTGGACGTTGCATAACTCGCATTCCACGGTATTATCGTGTGTTCTCCCTTCCCAAGCGACCGAGTGCTACAATCTTTTCTTCCTACCCCACTGCACAACAGAGAGTTGAATAAAGTAGTTGCCCATTTGCTGGTATGTGGGGCGTTAGGGTGATGATTTAAAACGGGAATGTTCTTTTTGAAACTGTAAATCGTTGAGATAGAGTTCAGGTTGGTGTTGTTGCAGGTGGGTATTTGGTCCTTCTTCGAGCAGCAACACTCGCTTGGAGAGCTGTGAATTCGAGTGTGCTGAGTTCAGTAGAGTTGATCGCCATAGAATGGTCCTGGTTGATACAGCTACGAAGAATCTTCTGGTAGGCTTTCGAGAAAGGTGTGGTATTGAAGCCTCGTGTTAAGGTGTCGACCTTGGATGCTGACGCACCGCCGCATGTCGTCCATTTGCCGCGCTAAGTGGTGACCACTGGTCACTTTGTTGAATTAGAATCTGCAGTGCATAAAGTATTCTCCAGGGCTGTCATTCGTGCTGAGTTGTCGATGAGCGTATAAGTGTTGTGAATGTGGTAGGTAGTGGCCCTAGAATTGGTATCAGATTTTTGATTTGTGAGGGTATATGGAAAGCTAGTATCCTCGAATCGAACCTGGGTCATACGGATGAAGGACGAGTGCTCTGCCAGCTGCGCTATGTGATCTGATTCCACTGCTTCGCTCCGCTTGATTTTAATGTAAGATTTGTGAAATGTGTCGTGAGTCGGGCCGCCTATGATTCGATCATGCGGGCTACATTATCAATGATTTCTTTGTTAAAACTTTCGCGATAAATTCTCCCACATGAACACGTATGGTAATAACAATGTGTCGCCTGCCCGCGCTATAGACCTGAGGTAAAAGACGACTCCTCCAGTGTCGGTTAATAGCGTTGTGATAGACTCAACAGCTGGGAGGTTGCTTGCATAGGGCCAACCACGAGTTATGGCAAACTCGTTGTAATGATCATATTGCTTCTCTCAGTGTTTCCCTCTTTAACGGTAAAATACTCATACAGATGAATCTCAGCGAACTATATTTAAAGCTGTGTGCTACTACGCTAGTCTGTCTCGACTGATCACAATAGTTCGTCTCGTACTCTT